AGAACTGGTCAGAATCTGCTGAATACCACCTCTGGTGTTATTGCTTTGATTCTCTATTTCTTTTCCTTTAAAAAAAAATCTATGCTGTGGTGTGGTATACATTTATTGTGTGTGTGTATATTTATTTTTTAATCAAATTTATATCCATCTTACTGAATCACTCATCTTACTGAGCAGCATAAAACAGTAGATTAAAAAGATATAAAAACAGAATACAACTATGAGCCACCCAGAATCACTCAGCATATGAAGTTAACAAATAAATAATAATAATATAAAAATGTAGTAATCAATATCCTTAAAAACCCAAATACAACCAAGGTAGGGGGAGAATAAGGAATAGCCACCTCAGCAGTTGGAGGAGGCTATTTCTTATTCTCCCCCTACCTTAGACTAAAGTTTCTGGTTCTTTGGGAACCCTGGGCCTAGTCAGCTCGTATAGCATATAGCCAGATGGGAGCCAGTCTAATTCCGGAAGGAATGAGATTCCATAAAGCAGGTATACGCTGTATGTAAGCCTCAATGGGATCCATACCCTTCAACAACCACCTGTTATGTATTTATTTACCTGCCTACCTATCTACCTACCTATTTTATATGTCTCTCAGTTACAATGTCGGAGCACCAATACAATGTTAAAACGTACTTCATCAATCATAAAATAATTTAAATCTGTATATTTTAGTAGAAACCAGAGAATCTAAAGGTCTGCAATTCCTCCATCCTCCCCTTTTTTTAAAAAAAAAAAAAATTATCTTGACCTGATACTACTACTTCCTAGTGTTATGCCCGCGCTATAGCTCGACTTGATATTAACCATGTGAATTATTCAGATAAGGTCACCTAGTGTTTATATGAGTCTAAGTGAAGTAAACACTCAAGGGAAACTTTTTGTTCTTTATCCCCAAAAGCATTGTGAAGAAATCTTCCCAAAGTTGGTACTTTCTAAATTCTTTGGATTGATGCCAGTTTTCTGCTTTTCTAGCCAAAATGGCAATAGGCATGTTGGCTGAGGATAGTAATAGCACTTCGACTCATATACTGCTTTACAATGCTTTATAGTCCTCTCTAAGCGGTTTACAGAATCAGCCTATTGCCCCCAGCAATCTGGGTCCTTATCCATAGGATGGAAGGCTGAGTCAACCTTGAACTTGGTGAGATTCGAACTGCCAAATTGCAGGCAGTTGGCAGAAGTGGCCTACAATACTGCATTCTAACCACTGCACCACCGCGGCTCTTTAATAGGACAACGAGGATTTTAATGTAAAAGAATCTGGAAGCCACCTGGTTGGGGGAGAATTAATTTAGAAGCTTTTCAAAATTGGTCAGCCTCCCACCCTAGAATTATAGTTGGACCACAGTCTGGGTTCTGCAAATCTGAAGCCAATGGCTTCCTTGTTCCTGTTAAGAAAAGGAGAAGAGGCAAAGAAGAAATGGTCTCCATATTCCATTTCTTTTTTTTTAAATGGTGGGAGTTGAAGGCCATAAAACTCTGAATACACCTAGGCTGGATGATGAGCAATTGAGAAGTTAAATTCTGTTTAATTATTTGAATAGGACTATCTTTAAGAGGTAATTCTTGTGACTTCACTCAATGGAGCACTATAAGGAAGGGAATAATAATTAGAAACTGGGTTTTTAATCATTTAATGTTCATTTAATGTGTCATATTTTGAGGCCATCCAACTCCCACCCGGCTTTACAAATTATAAAACACACACATACAAAGAAAAAAAAATATGGCAGGCAGTAAAATACAACTGGCATGTGGAAAGAAGCCACAATAAACACTGCCTGTTTCCATTTCACCCATCATTAAAAAAGACTATCCAAAAAGCCTAGTCTCTGGCCTGGAGAAGCAGCCAAATCTTGATTGCCTGAAGGAAAGCCAAGTGGGGTTGTGTGGATCTCCAAGGGGATGCTGTTCCACAGTATATATGCAGCCACAGAGAAGGCCTGCTTTCTGGTTCCCACTAAATAGCACTGTTTAATGGACAGGACCTGGAACAGCCAGATCCTTGTTGGAGCAAATAGGACAGGCAGAAACTGCCAGAGACAAGACTGTCCCTCTGATGGGTAGAGTTGTAGTGAATGGTGAGAAATTCCACACCAAGAAATCTCTGGTGAAAGTCATTCAAAAGAAAATCCAAGCTAAAGTTTGATCTTCAGTCAGGCTGGGTTGTAAATCTGGATAGCGAGCAGAAACAATCAGGGTTTAAAGAGTCCATCAGGGGCCAGGATATTTTCCTTCTTAGCTGAACTATTAAAAAGAGGAAGGGACAGCTCTGTCTTTTTTTTCAAATAGATAGAAAGTTATTTCCTGGCTGGCTTTTAGAGTAAGGTAACCAACACTCAGGACTCTGACACTGGACATCCAGAAAACATAGACTAAAAATTAGTGGAAGCTAGGTGCAAATCAGAATCCGAAATGATTTAAACTGAAAATTATATGAATTGTGGTACTTTTCAATTCCATTGTCCTATTTCATTCTGCCTTTGTGGTTTGTGTGTGCGTGCGTACATGTGTATATGCATGCATGCATATTTCTGGCTAGAGGCACAGTGTTGAAATAAACCCTGCAAACATCAGTTCTTCTTTTCTCTTAATTCCCATTCAATGTTCAACTCCTTTTAATTCCCTAACCTTGATATATATAATAAAAATCTGCTTTCATTCTGGAAGGATTTCAACTTTAGTGCACCTCCTCCCCTTTGATTAAGCTGCAGAAAAGCGGGGGGTGGGGAGCAGAGGCGGGAGGCTTGCAAACTTTCTTCTTAGTAAGCCAGTACAAAGAGAGAACTTTCTCTAGAAAAAAAGAAAGATGGATGATGGCACTATAGCATTTTCCAAATAAATCCACCCCCCACCCCCCCAAAAACCTTGGTAGGAGGTTACAGGAGGGATCTGGGTGGAGGATTTAGAGACTCCTAGTAAAAGCTAATGGGCCCAGTCTACCATAGCTCTGTGTTCATGGGTAGACATGTGCAGCCACACTCCATCAGATGTGTCAATTTTTCTGGAATAGTTTGCAAGGTGTAGAATAGTAATTCAACTTGGCACCCTCCAGATGTGTTGCAAATTCTAGGAAATGTAGTCTCCCAACACATGAAATGAGTGGAAGGGACATGGGGGCATGACATGATGAAACATTGGATTTCTGCTTTGAGAGCTCAAGGGGATGCATGGACTATTCTGACAGCTTCCCACCAACCTGCAATCTTTAGTCCTCACTTCAAGTACATCACCCTTCTTCTTTTACACTTGAAACTGAACCTTTCCTCAAAACAACTTCATTTCTCTTATGGCTAGAAGGAAGGTAGGCTTTTGTACTATATTAAGCTGAATTTGCATAACTTCACAATTTATAACATCTGATGGGGAACTAATTATCTGTTTTGGATAGAGAACATCTGCTCCATTGATTCTATGACAGCAAATTTGCTTGGAAGCTGAAAAACAATAAATCCTGTAATGGCTCACAACTGACCAGGGAAGAAAAAAAAAAACACATTCTAGCTTTCTGCCTATGATAGCCTCATTCTGGACTAGCCATACAACTTCTGTCTGCAGAGCTGCCATTAGGACATGATTAAGCCCACCTGAATCTGGCTTTTGCAGTGCCCAGGACTGTCCCCTTATTTATCTAAAAGGAAAATTATTCTGAATTTAAGTCAGTCCTGCTAGGGTTGGTTAGAATGATTAGACAGGGAAAAAATGTCATTTGCTGTGTTTCCCAGACAGCTAAAGTTGAGGTTCCAATTTTTAAAATTAAAAAATAATTGTAGAGAATGAAGAAGTTTGGCTTCTTCAGAAGAACACGACCAATGCCCTGCGGGATCAAACCTATGATCCCTGTAGTCCAGCAGCCTGTTCTCTCAGTGGCCTACCAACTGCACAAGGAGGCCCACGGGTCTCTCGGCAGATGGCCTTCAGAAGGAAGCACGCTGCCAGAAAGGCTAACGATCATTGATCCCCATGGCTTCCCCAGATTGGTCCCACTCTTTTTGAAGCCAGTCAAGCTGGCAGCCAGCACCACCTCTCATTATATCAAACTCCGATGTTGAATTATGCACTTTGTTAAATATATATTTTTGTCTGTCCTGATTCTTTTTCCTTCCTTTCAAGGAGACTCAGTAAATTCTACTGTGCAAAACCTCCATGAACGAATGAATGTGGCACCATTAATTTAGGGCTTCTGAATTGATAGAACCCAAACTCCCAGGAGATGACAAGCATTTTTAGGGTGTCACAAATAAGACAGACTGCTAGACCATGAAGAGAAGGTAGGAAGAATAACTGGCTTGGATAGACTGCTCTTTAAAGGAGAAGTCCAAAGGTAGAGTTGCTGGCCTGTCCAAGCAGCACAGGACTTGCAATCCCCTTCAGATGTTCATCTCTCCACGCAAAGCTGTCTGAACTCTGTCCAGTTCTGCCTGACAAACCAGTAACTATGCCATTGTGCTTCCACTTCTTTTGATGGCCGGTTCTCTTAGAGTTCACAAAGGGCAGGAGACAGCAGCATTCAGGGAGGCATCCGCACTGTCTTCCTAAAGCCTAAACACCAGAAGTTTTTTCTGCCCTGCCACTCTGCACCATCTCCAGAGACATACATACACATACCTCCCCGTACACCACCCCTCCACCTTGGATCTGGTTCTGTGGTATGCCTGCCTACCTGCATATTATGCCAATCTAGGAAATGAGTTTGGAGTAATTGGATTACGAGTGTTATGTAAGTACAGTAATTGTGGCCATACCCAGTCTACTTTGCCAGAGATGAGTTCTCACTTCATGGAACCCATAAATTGCAGGAACTTTAGTTTGCCAGCAGCTCTGAGATGGAAATGTGAACTTCCCAACTCTTTGGCCTTAGATCCTTTAGCTGCAGGTGTTGCAAATGAGCACAGGCAAGAGCTGTGAAGAAGCCAGAGAGAAGAGGAGGGCGAGTGATGAGCTTAGAGTAGACAAAGGGCTGGCTGTGTGGGTGAGCAGAAATCCTCTGTTGGGCTCCTCTTAGGACAGAAAAGCTGTGGGGGAGAGGAAGGAAATGTTTCCTTGACAACAGAATCTTGTTTTATTGGCATAGCAGCTTGATGGCTTCCAGCTTTCTGCACCAACTTTTCCTGGTTTCTCCCTCCAATCTGTTCTTTCCCAAATCCAGTCTCTTCCCCCCACCTACACATCCAGACCATTCTCTCTTATCAGCCAGGTGTTGCGTACTGGACCTGTGCCTCAAGAATTCAAACACCATGCAGCTCCTGGAACCTTGCCTGAAGCCAGCCCCTCTGCCTGGACAAGCCAGAAGCAGAACCGAGCTTTGACAGGGCTCCAGTTTTGCATTGCAAAGGAGATTTTAAAAAATATAGTAAGGAACCATTCAGACCTTAACTATAAATTGCCTTATTACTACTGGAGCTTCTTCCTTTTATTTATGGGGGAGGGGGTCACAGATGGATCATTTTAGGGACCTAGCACTACAAAGTTGAGAATCCCCTGCATTAGTCAAAAAGAATCCTCTGGTGCAGGGGTGTCGAACTCACGTCGTCACGGCAGCGCCACGTGACATATTGGGACTTTTTCTTCCCTTCACTAAACCAGGCGTGGGCATGGCCAGCATGTGAGACATCCAGACCACGGGCCAGGAGTTTGACAGCCCTGCTCTGGTGTGTTTAGCATCGGAGCCGAAGGAAAGCAATGATTTAAGCCCAAGACTGATGGAAAGAGGAGCAGCCGGACTGACTGCAGAAAACGGTTGAATCTTGCAAAGTCCAACCAGGGAGAGAGGATGCTCAGCAGTCATCCCTGGGGACATATTCAAAGGGTATCATTAAACACATGTCTTCCTTTCTGTTTCTTTTTACACATAGACAGCTTTATTCTGGTGCTCTAAGTTTGTAAAACAGTTGACACCCTGTGGCAACAGTGGCTCAGCCCTCCCATTCCTGGGCTGGATGCTACCTTTCCTGTGGTTAAAGATTTCCAGGGTCTCTGCCTCCCTACCCATGAGCTGTGTTCCTAATTAAGTCACCAGAAAGACTGAATAAAGAGAAACAAAGGAGACACCTGTTTGTCCTAAGCATCTGTGGAGATGGTAATTGGGGGGAACCAAGAGTGTTAATTGTAGAGTACAAAGCATTGTCAGCTTGGCACAAATGCTTGCTTTGTTGCAACACCCAAAATCAAATTTCTTTGCTGGATTTTTTTGGTTTCTGATTGAAAGCATTTTCAGGCACTGCTGAAAGAACCAAGAACTTGAGCAGTCACCATTTACTTGTGTGGAAGGAGTGAGAACTGTGTCTTTGAAGAGTCTTTTTCCTGTGCAATCCAGGAACTGTTTCAGGTGCCTTCGTGAAAAAAGGGTGAATGTAGGGTGGTCAGGATGGACATAAGCACACAGAGAAGAGCCTGTATAAGACTAAAGCAGTAGAGAAGTAGTTATAATGGATAGTTTCTTGCAGTTTCAATTACAATTAGTTATTTAATATAAGGAGAAATATCTCAGAAGAGCAAGTAGCCACTGGCCACAGTTTCCTCTGCCAGCTATGTTCACCATGCTTCAAAGTTGTGTAAATTTGGAATAAAATGTTTTTCTTCCTTAGAGGTCAAAGCAGTATAAATCGGGATCACTTCTTATTTTATCCCTATATAGGTTACAATCCTACAAAGTTGTCTCACTTGAGTGAGGCTGACTAAAATTATCTGATGAATTTCACGGTGATTGAATAGGGACCTGAATCCCACCCCAAATGTGGCACAAGGTAGTTCTGACAACCAACCTCTAGATTAGGAATTAGAGTAAAAAAGGCAGCAGTTTCCAGACCAGGACTGGATTTCTGATGTGATGTGCATAATACCGTGCCTTCTGTTTACCTTGTCCTCTTAAACGACCAATGTGCCTGTTGTAGCATTTGGTTGGTTTTCTTCTTTCTCTTGCTCAATGTTAAACGATGTCCCAACTTCTATCAGAAGCTTAACTTAGTCCTCCAAGTCAAAACCTACTTGCTTGATCAAATACAAATCAAGTAGCTTCAAAACATGGAAACCTTGGAAAGAGTTGGTGGGATCAATTTAGTGCCTAGATTCAGATGAAGCAGATTCGAGGAATCAGCATTTATTTTTCTAAGATTCTCTTAAACATTAGAATGCTTGGTGATAACTAGCCTTACACATTTTCTTTGTCATCAACTTAGCCTGGCTACTGCCATGAGGATAATACAGAGAGACAATCATAATGAGAAAAATTAGTCAAGGGTGATTTAACTATACCCAACGCTCTTCGGTCATTGGTTTCTTTGCTTCTTCAAAAGATGCTTCCTTAACAAATGAATTACTTCTGGCTCTCCTGGGAATATGTTCTAATGTGCAATACATTAGTGTCTTTATTTGGCTTCCTATGATTTGTTATCACTTGACAAATCCAGTTCTGTTAAGTGATCATTAAGAAATGTAGCATAGACTTCAGGTTTTCCCAGGGTATCTTTGCTAACTGTTAGAAGGGTGCTCCAGGGGTCTATATAAATGTGAACTAGAGGGTGTCAGTTGATCAGATAAAAAACAAAACAAAATGGTGTACTTCCATAACCATAAGCCAATAATGACATGCAAAACCCACCAGCTGACTTCATTTTTTAAAGAGAATGAAAATAAATATGCTCATCCCTTAATGTATCAGCTTCGGTATTTCACAAAGGAAAATAGGGATGATGTTATTACAATTATCATCTATCGAAATAGCTCAGTCTCTTACCATGACCACAAACTATTTTCTTAATGAAAATCCGTTCACAGTCTGCATTAATCCATAATGCATGGTATATACCTATGTGAAAGCTTTATTATGTGTCATAACAAAGATGCTACAAGATCCTATATTTTTGTTGCAACAGTCTAACACCATTTTCTTTCTGTGTGATGTAAAATGAGATTATTGTTGTTCTTGTCCTTCAACAGAAAGAAAATAAGCTAATAGTACTTGATTATCCTATTTACCATATTTCTTAGGACATGGGTTGGCAGCTCTGAGGAACAACATGCATGTGTAATTGCTCATCCTCTCTTACTATGTATCTTGATATTAAGTTCCAAAATAAGAATTCTTTAACGCTCTTGAGTGTTTCTTAATCTCCGCTACTTTAAGTTGTTGGGAATTCTGTGAATTGATGTCCACTCTTTAAAGTTCTTGAGATTAAGAAATAGTGCTTTAGCCTATAAACTAACGGCTGGCAAATTGATAAGACAGCAGACAAATGAAACTCTGAGCTTTCCTCTGGAGGGACAAATTTTTCTTCCTTATTGTTCCATTAGCTCGTGTCTCCTTGAGGCTAATATAGTTTTCAAATTATACGTGACAATGCCAGAAACATCCCTTCCTGGTTTTAACCATGTTGAGGGAGGGTTAGGCATGAAAAGAGAGAGGGAGAGAAGAAATGCAGCCTTTTTTAAATGGGTGGTTTATCCAAAGGATTTGTTTACATAGATAAGAACCTTCTTACTGATCTTTTTTTCAAAATGAAGCCATTATCTTCTTGACCTGCTTGTTTTCTTTCTTCACACATTTAATTGGCAACTTTTGCTCAAGAGTGGCAGACTGGATGAGTTTTGTGCCTGATCCAGCACAAATCTTCTTAACAGTATATGCCTAGGCAATTAGGTGAAGCAGAGAATATGAGCTTTCTGCAAAGTAGAAAAGCCCTCAAATAAGGGAAACATTGGGTTCATATCTGGCTCTAATCCCTAAAATGGTTTGTTTGTTTTTCACATAGCAATAATGATAGCACTTAAACTTACATATGTATGTGGAGATGCTCAGTCATCCAGGTCATAGTTTTCCCAAAGGTGCTTTCTTTTGAAAGGCAACTGGACGTTTTACTTCTCACCCAAGAAGCTTCTTCAGTTCTGACTGGATGGTGGCAAATGGAAGGATTTATATTCCTTGTAGCCATGTGGCCATTGGCCTCTTTCTGAGAATCATTGAAGCCACTTGGAGGTTTATCTATGCCCTCAGGGTCACCTGAATCCCGTAGTCTACAATTTTTTTTCCTGGAAATCATTTCATATTCCTGCACAATTCAAAAGGCCAGTCTTCCCAAAGTGCATAGCTTTTGAAAAAAAAAAAAAAAAAAGCACCTTTGGATTAAACTTATGTGCCACTCTTACAGTGCTTTATTTACAGCACTCTCTGATGTCAGGATATTGCCCCCAACAATCTGAGTCCTCATTTTACTGACCTTGGAAGGATGGGTCAATCTTGATCCTATCAGGATCGAACTGGGCAGAGTTAGCCTGCAATACTGCATTCTCACCACTGCACCACAAGAGTTCCAATCTAGCTCAGGGTGGGTTACTTTCTGTTGATTTTTAAGAGACCTTGGACACCATGTAAGTGTAGATTGCCTACGAGGTAATGGATTCTTTTTTTTTTTTTTTTTGTATGTGTGTATTAATAATTTATACTGCATTTTTAGGTGCAATATAACCTAAAACATTATTTCAATAACAATAAAAATATCAATTTCATGAGCTTTCTTCAATATCCCTTTTAAAAAGTGTGGCTGACTTAGAAGACAAATAATTTTTCCTAAACTTCAAACTTCTTAAATTTCAGCTGTTTTACACTACAATGTAGCTGCTTTACACTACCATGGGACAGCACAGCAGGACTTTGAGGGGAAGGGGGTTGTAAATACAAATGTCTAACTGCCTAGCATCATTAAATCACTGTTACTGTGCTCTTGTAGATCTGCTGCTGATCTCTCAGAAATCCATAAGCAGATCCCTTTCTTCTTTTTGCCTAACCCTAATAAAAAATAAAAGTTCATCAGTTATATTCTATAAGATTAGTTGTTCCTGCAAACAAGCAAAGATTGTTTGGCTGCTCCTTCCCAAACTACAAATAATCTTCTCCTTGCCTCCTTCTGATATTCCCACTGATATACTTCAACTTAGAGGCTCTCATATTGATTCAGCTGACAGATCCATCTCTGTAGCTTATAAAGTGGTTGTAAATGTAAGAATTCTTCATTTATCAAATTTACAGCCATCACAATAAGCCAGGCTCTCTTTAATTTACAGTAATGAAAAACATAAAACAAAAACTATTGCTAATAAAATGTGCATGATGAGAACTGAAGCCATTAAAAATAACAGTAGCTCAACATTGGTCAATTGTTAAGTCTCCCATCAGTTACCAAAAGTCCTCCAAAAGAACTAATTTTTAGAAGAACAACAATTTTGGGGTCAGTATGATTTTCAAGGAGAAGGTATTTGATAATGTAGAAGCTGCCCTTGAAAAACAGTGGGTAGTACAGTCTCTCTTTCATCTACATTACAGAGTGATGAAAACTTGATAAACTGATTTCCCTTGCTCACTGACTGAATTCATATAACTTGCATTTAGGGTGGTAAAGTCATTTTTGTAATCAATTAAATATGTACATTTGATCTGTTCAGTTTAGGCTTAGCATATGATGTAAACTAATTGCAGTTTATTTCATAAACCATAATTAAATAAACTATGATTTATCTTGTGTAAACCCCAGTCTTTCTCCTTCTCTGAGCCAGTACTATAACATTACTTCCTGTGCATAGACATGTCACAACACAGTTGAAGTTCTGGATTATAGCTAATTTCAGCATGAAATTCATGATCCACTGCTGCACACATGTTGGCTTGGGTTTAATTACCAACTCTCAACCAAACTATTCCACAAGAAGGTAGGATTATATATGTAGTATAAACATAGACAGTAATGGACATTAGCAAACATGTATATTAGTATTTTCTCTAGAATTCTTTAAATTGAAGCAAATTACAAAAACATTACTATAGCAAAAGTTGTTCCTCTGAATTGGATTTAGACATTGAACTAAGGCATGATTTGTTTGTTTTTTGTTGAACAATCTTGCTCATACATAACACAATGCCTTAGCATGTATGCAAACATGTCACAGAAATTTTTGATAATCTAAGGCAGAATCATTGATGGGAGTGGAGGGAAAAAATCTATACAGATTACCAACTGGAAAATTTTCATTTTATGGGCTCATCTTACATAGCATTTCCCAATATAGTGTTTGTCAGGTTTGCTAGGGTTTGCAACCTCAGTTCCCACCATTGGGTATTCTGGGACTTCTAGTACAACAGACCTGGAGGGCATTCTCCACCTACTATGCTTCCGAATACTTCAGAACTGTTAAATACTGGCAGAAATTCAGCAGGCAAAGTTGTACACTGTGATAATGGAAATTCAGCAGGCAAAGTTGTACACTGCGATAATGGTTAAATCTTTTGCATATCAAATAAGCATTTAGTGCACAGAAGCTTTCACCAGGAAAATAAATCATCCAAGCAAGCCACTTTACTGGGTTTTAGGCTGGGTTTCAACCTAAGATTACTTTACTACCTGCTATGAGAATCCATGTAGCGTAGTGGTGAGGATGTTGAACTAGGACTAGGAGAACAGGCCCACATCAGCCTTTAGACATGGAGGCTGGCTGGGTGACCTTCGGCCAGCCAGCCTCTCTCAGCCCAGGATATCTCACTGGGTCACTGTTGACAGAAACAAAGAATTGTAACAAAGAAATTAACAAATTCTTGCTAACAGCCACATGGGACCTGGTTTGTTGGTTAGTTTCTTTGAGCCCATAATTTAACTTTGGTTTTTATTAAGAGATCTTATCTGTCTTCATTTTTATTCATCGTTTGCAGTGTGAAATGAAGTTATATATTAAGAAAGGGAGGAACTGAAGGAGAAAAGGAAGAAAGGAATTGCTAAGGAAAAAAAAGATGGTTGCAGTTCTTATCCCTGGATTATTGGCATTCACACTTATGGTTGAATTACAACCAACCCTTTTGCTTTCACCACTTCACAATAGCAAAATAAAAGTTATCTGTCCCATCTAAAACTCCCTTAGTGCTTACCAAGTCTTTGCTCCTTTACAATTTCTAAAAATTCTTCTAATTAAAAATATATTAAAGCTGCCAGGCTACAAAAAGGAAAGGATAATTAGTATTATATTTATTTGCAGCAATGCCTTTCAGTCCCATCAGTATGGTGAAGAACATCCTGAGATCATTGCTTAATTTCTGATAAAGATCTGTTTTGTGAAGGACGATGCCCACCATGGCAGCCATTTTGTGAACCGTCCACTTTCCAAGGTGGGTTGTTTCGTGAACAGGCCCCCAACTTGCTCTGAAGGTTTCCCCAAGTCTCTTCTCAAAGCTTTTGCATACTCCTCTGGTTGGAAGGATTGCTTACACTACAATTTGAAGCCATTGCTGTGCTTTTCTCAGAGATCAAGAATTAGCAAATAGGTTTTTGGATAACAGGATGACTCACATGAAAGAAGAATATATAGCCTTTAGAATTGCACAAAAGCTTTCTTCAAGATCTAATTAAGATTTCTGGGGTCTTAAAGGATGATGTCCTGTTCTCTCATAGTGAAGCTGGAACAGATGGAAACTGAGCCAGACTAGTTACCTTACCTGGCACTATCACCAGCCTAACCAAATTGTGTTTTTTTTCATAATTATACACAATTTGTGTGCACAAAAAGATCTTGAGAGCATGAGACAGTTTTACTCTCATACAAGTACAACATATCTCCAATCAAGCCCACTCCAGAAATTTCCTTCAGTGACCTTCCCTGAACATTTCTGGTATCACACCTGTTGCTTCAACAGCTGTCTGAAAGTTAGTGATAGCACCATGGACTCACAATAGCAACACGTGATGTCATAAAGTGGAAATGGTCCAATATCCTAGCATGAATAATATACATTCCATGCTGGAAGGGATTCTGGACTCAAGCAATCAGGTAAAAACAAAAACAGGGCAATGTAATGGTTTAAAAATCTGCCTGAGAGGGTGGGGCTCAAGTGAGTGGAAAGGGAATGGAGCTGCTCTTTGCTGTCCTATTTAAGTTTGCAAGATTAATCACCCTGAAAGCACCCAGTTCACTGCAGATTTGTCTTTTCCAGAATTGCATTCATAGGCTTGATTGGCAGAATGCGTTAAGCCAGAATGGTTTATTTGCTTAAGGCTGGGTATGTATGAATAGTAGTATGATTCCAGCCATTGTAGTTTATACATTATAAATTTATACAAATTTTTGTCCATAAACCATAGCACATTAGGCCCCTCCTGTCCTCCACTGTCTCCCGGAGTTTGCTCAAATTCATATTCCTTGCATGGATGACACTATCTAACCATCTCATCCTCTGCAATTCCATTCTCCTTTTGCTTTCAATCTTATCAACATCATGGTCTTTTACAGTGAGTCTTCTCATTTGGTGGCCAAAGTACCTGAGCTTCAGCTTCAATACCTGACCTTCCAAGGAACAGGCAGGGTTGCTTTCTTTTAGGATTGATCTCCTTGCTGTCCAAGTGATTCTCACGAATCTTCTCCAGCACCACAATTCAAAGCCTCAATTCTTATGGATAGCTGAGACTTTTGTGCAGAATTGTTGGATCTCTCTATTTTTGGGAAGTCTCCTTTCATTTGCTCAGGAAGTCAAAAGATAAGGCAGCCCTGTGTTATCAAACAAAGCAAACCTTCCCTTTGAGAAGCTGGAAGAGGAAGGAGCGTGTCAGACAAGCTGGATTCAGAAGACAATAAAGAGGAAAACTCTGCAATCTGAGGCTCAAAAGCCTACAGCTATGATTGTGCCTTCTTGTTCCTTTCCCCCAGCTATGAATTGAAACAAAAAAAAAAGATAATGCCTGCAATGTTCCCTCCTGCTATTGCTGTTCCAACGTGACTGTGGCTGTCAGAAGAGAGACTCCTGGTCCATTAAGACAAATAGGAAAGCAATGAGGCTGATCTACACAGATGTTCCAGCTGGTCTCTTTCTGATCCAGCTACACAATGACCCAAAGTTGGGAACCCTCCTGTGACTGGCCTGTCTGCGAACTCTGGGACTTACAGAAACTTTGGCCCAAAGACTGAGCTGGGCTTTTGGAGAAAAGGGAGAATTTGCTTAGTTTTTCTGAGACAGACATTACAGAGGATGACAAGGCTTTTCTGCCCAGCAGTTCCAGGAATTTCGATGGAGCCCAACTGGCCCCTAGCAAACCAGATCTCTCCCACAGGTCACCCAAAAATTCCTTAAAGTCCATTCTCCTTCCAACCTTGTGAAACTCAAGCTGAGCAGAGGCATCCGGGAGTTTCATCGGAGGCTGAAAGGTGTAATATGGTAAGGACCGTAAGGGATTCTCAGTCATCCAGGCCGTGGTTGTCCC